CAATTTTCAGTGGAACTCATTTCAAAGCAGAGCAAAGTGGCTGTCTCAGTAAAACCAATGTGACTTCTTTCTGGGTACAGAATGAGAATGGCAAGGATACAATTCTACTTTGAGGTCTGTGTCACACTTACAACAAATGGGCCTTACTTCCACTTAAGGATGATAAGGAAAGCAGCAAGGACAAATTTCCAAGCACTACCCAGACTACAGCTGAAGCCAACTGCATACAAAAGACCTTCCCCTCCCAGCCCGCTTCCAATCTTGCCATTTTCCTAGGAATTTGCTTTAGTCAATGAATCTGTTATTACAGAGAATCTTGGCAAAGATATTATGCAATAATTGCTTTTCTGCATTATTGGTGTTCACACACACACACACACACACACACACCTGGTTTGTAATCATTTTTCTGATTTTGAACAGTTTTGAGGTACTAGCCTGTCCTATGCGGATTGGCAAGATGCTATTCTTCACCCAGCTTGCATGATGACCATTACATATCCCTTCTCACATTATATTTGAAGACCTGGTTGGTTGTTTTAAAAATGTATTTCAGTGTAACATGGAAAAGACAAGTGCAGTGAGAATTTGGTTTATTTTATTTTGTGTGTGTGTGTGTGTGCATACTCCAGAACTCCAAAGTGGGTGGAGGGCTTGACCTTGTAGCACTAAAGCTTGTAAAGTAGCAAGATATTTCTCTGTTTCCTAAGCCTTTAGGAGTCTGAGCATGAAGGAGATTCCTACATTTTCTCCAGAGCTGGGAGACATACATCTGAGAGACCCTGCCCTTATCCAGCCTTGGCTGTACTTTTTTTTTTACATTTTGTTGAGATCTATAGTAGTAAAACTTTCCTAAATATAACTGAAGACTACTTAATTAGTGATTATTTCACTTACTATTTTACCCACCCCTTTTTAATTTTAGCCATGGGGATGGGCATTGCCTAATTTTACAGGGGATAAAGTGCTATATTAATTCTGTATCCAGCCTCGCTATACTAGCTGCTCCAGGTGACTGCAGAGTAGCAGTGCCCCAGCAGTGCCGATGGGCCACGGTTCCACCTTGGCACTCTTCACCCTCAGACTCCAAAGCAAGAGCAAATGGAGCACAGCAAACGTGGCAGGAGCACTGCTGTGGAGTCATGTAACAGAATCATACAACAGTCGAGCTGGACGGGGCCAGGAGGCCATCGGGGCCAACCCCCCACTCCGCGCAGGACACTGGGTTAAACTGTCCCTCTCAGATGGCCATCCACTCGCATCTTGAATGCCTCCGGTGTGGGGGAGCCCACAAGCTCCCTGGGTAATCGTCCTACTGCTTCTTGAGGGGCGTGGGGCAACTCACTTAGCTTTCCATCTAGGCAACCTTGAGTTTTTGTTAGATTAAAATGGGAGTGGGGAAGAACCATGCTCCTTGAGATTTTTAGAGGAAAAGTGGAATTAAAACACTCCGCCCCCTTTGACACAAGTGAGAAGTCTTGTGGCACTTTAAAAACTAAGGAATGTACCCTGGCATGAGCCTTTCTGGATGTTGTCCACTTACATCAGAGGGAAGCAGACAGCATCCACGAAAGCTTATGCCAGAATACATTTTAGTTTTTTAAGTCCTTTGCCCTCTATTGTTTCTCCAATCCAGACTGACATGGCTACCCCTCTGGGAATTCTTTAAACATGTCATCAGATGGTTTCCTCACCCAGATTTGCTGATCAAATAACACTCTGAACCCAGTTCACATAGACCATTTGTTTTGAGCTACTAGATAGCCATATTCTGGGCTTAACTTCTTGAGAGGTTCTGCTAGTACTTCAGTGTTCAAACTTCTTATGCCAGGCTTCCTACCCTGGAACCAGCAGCCAAGTCATCACCAGGTTTCTGAAGGCCCTTGGGCAAGACCACTTCCAGCTGGCCCCCTCCCCCTGCAAGTCCACTGCCACTGCTTGCTTTGGCTTTTCATCTTCCTTTATTGTAGCACTTCTTGCAGAGAGCCACTGAGCAAGCGGGCAGCAGATCCGCTGCTGCTCCCTCTCATCACTGGCCGGAGGGAGGCCATCGGGTCCAAGAGGGAGGTGGACAAGCAGGCTGCAATGGTGAAGAGAAGCAGGCCCACAAGGCTCTACCCACTGGCCCCTGCTGGGGTGTGGGCCCTCAGCAGGTGCCCCACCTTGCCTACACTTGACACAAAGGCCACAAAGGAAGAATATAAACAAATAGCAAGGAATTACAGGGATGGCATCAGGAAGGCTAAAGCAGGAAATGAAGTGAGAATAGCGAGGGATGCTAAGAACAACAAGAAAGCCTTGTTCAGATAAGCCAAAAGACATGTGAAAGAGAAAGGTATGGCAGTGTGATAACAGATAACAAGGGAAAGGCAGAGCCATTCAATTCCTACTTCACCTCAGGCTTCTCTTGTTCTGCAATCAAGAGGAAGTACAAAGTGAAAGTGAGGGATGTCAGCCCATTCCTTGACAGACAAATGGTCAAGGAATACCTAGGTGGAATAAACACTTTCAAATTTCCAGGGCCTGATGAACTCCATCCCAGAGTCATAAAAGAGCTAGTGGAGGAACTCTCAGAACCACTGGCTATTATCTTCAATAAATCTTGGAAAATAGGAGAAGTGCCAGATAACTGGAGAAGGGCTAATATTGCCCTATCTTCAAAAATGGGGAAATCATGAATCTGGGAACTACAGACCAGCTAGTCTGACATCAATCCCTGGACATTTTTTTTTTTTTTGGAGAAAATGATTTAAAAATCAGTCTGCAAGCATCTTGAAGAAATTGCAGAAATTAATAGAAGCCAACATGGAATTAACACAAATAAGTCCTGCCAGACAAATTAAATCTCATTTTTTTGACTGGGTAACCTCCCAAATGGACAGAAGGAACACTGTGGACATAATCTACCTTGACTTTAGCAACGCTTTTGACATAGTGCCCCACAACATTCTGATAAGCAAAGCAGCAAAAAGTGGACTAGATAGAAACACTATTAGGTGGATCCAAAAGTGGCTGCTAAATCAAATACAAAGAGTGCTTAGCAATGGCACCTTCTCAACTGGGAGGGACGAAACTAGGGGGTGCTGCACTGTTCAATCCTGGGCCAGTGCTCTTAAACATCTTTATTAATAGTCTAGATGAGGAAGTACAAGGAAAGATAATAAAATCTGCAGATGATACAAAACTGAGTGAAATAGCAAACACCCTAGAAGAAAGAATATCCAGGGTGATCCTGATAAACTTGAATGCTGGGCTAAAAGCAACAGAATGAGATTCAGTAGGGACAAGTGCCAAATCCTCCACCTAGGAAAAAGAAACCAAAGGTATCAATACCAGATGGGGAATACGTGGCTCAACAGGACTGAAAAAGAAAAGGACCTTGGAGTTATTGTGGACAACAGGCTAAATATGCGCCAACAATGTGATGGAGCTGCAAAAAGGGCAAATGATATTTTGGGATGCATTAATAAGAAATATTACTTCCAAATCACAAGAAGTAGTAGTTCCCCTATACTCCGCACCAGTCTGACTTCATCTGGAATACTGCATCCAGTTCTGGGCATGAAGATTTAGGATACAGAAAAGTAGAAAGGGTCTAGAGGGGAACAAAAATGATCCAGTGTTCGGAAATGTTGCGCTATGAGGAGAGACTGAGAGAAGGGCATGTTCAGCCTTGACAAGAGAAGACTGTTGTGGGGACAAGATATCCCTCTATAAGTACCTCAAAGGCTGTCACAAAGAGGAAGGTCAAGATCTCTTCTTGCTGATGCCAGAGTGTAGGACACGGAATAATCAATGCAAGTTGTGACAATTCAGATTCAGGCTAGATATCAAAAAAGTTTCTTCACTGTCAGAGCAATACAACAGTGGAACCAGCTGCACAGTGAGGTTGTGGGCTCTCCCACAACAGAGACATTCAAGGGGAAACTGGACAGACATCTGAGTGGGATGGTGTAACTTCGTGTCCTGCACCATCAGGAGGTTGGACCCGGTGGCCTTCATGGACCCTTCCAACTTTATTGTTATATGATTCTATGTCCCCAGCCTTGAGGAT